CCAAAAATGTTTTAAATTTCTGATTTTCTCCCAAATTCACCCTCATTCCTCAAATAACCCCCTGTTTTTCCCCCCTTAAGGGCCAAATTAAATACAAAATGAAGGTACTAAATAATTTAAAAAGGATAGGTTTTTTAAAAATTTTTGCTGTTAACCGGGGTAACAATGAGTGTACGGCTAAAAAGAGCGTTCTTTCCCCGGGGTGTTGCCCCAATATCCCAATTTGTGGGGTGTCCGACACTTTAAAAATTTATAAGGAGCGCTTTGGGGTGAATTCCAACGTAAAATTTCTCACAAACCCCAAGGGAAAGGGAGGTTTAAAATGCAATTTTTGGGCCAAAGGGTTTTGGGGGCCTTTACTGTCACCAAAATGTAAATAGATCGAAACCCAGAAATTAGATTTTTACTGTCAGTTTGTGATACTGTACATATATTATTGAAGTAAAACTAAAAAATTTTTTTTTTAATTGAATTTCCCATTGGAATTTTTTTTTGTATCAAAAAAGAAAATTTTTTTCCCAATTTTTTTTTTTTTTTTTTTAAAGGGGTTTTTTTTTCTTTTTTTTTTGGGCTTAAAACCCCAATGAATGGAATTTTCGCCCGAGCCCCAAAAGCAGATAATTTTGGCCACTGTTCATAAACATATTCATAAGAATAACTGCGGTTTAACTGTACACTGTAGAACAAGCTGTAGCTAGACTGGTTTTCTTTTCTCAGGCAAGCATTTTAACCCTGTGTCTTAAAAGGTGACTCTGAATCAGTGTCCGAAAATGCATCGATTCAAGTTGGTTTCAACTGCCGGGGGCTTTATATTACATTTACTGAGCGGCAATCAGCCTGTAATTCTGACAAATCTCTATTCGGTTTATGAAAATTACAGTCCTGTTTATGAACATTATAGCCTTGACATACGTTGCATTTACTATACTGTGAATACAATCAATAATACTGATAGTTTGTCTATGTGACAATTGTGTAGATAAATTTACAACACGCCGAGTTCACATAACAAATAAGCAAGCATTTTCGATCATCAACGCTATGCGCGCTCAATTCACAATGACCACACGCTTAGTAACCATAACAACGCGCAGTAAGCGCTCGATTCAATTCCAGTATATTGCGACGAGTGTTTACATCACTAAATTAGCTGTAACTTTGTGTGATTAGCTGCGATCTTGCTAATTTTAAGGCGCTGTGGCTAAAATCATCCACCGAACCAACAGGCAAAATTTCAGAAATATCGCACCCAGCGCCCATTTCGACCTCACGAGTAATCAGCTCACGAGTAATCAGCTCCCGGCGCGAAAACAAAGCGCGAGCGCCAGAAAAATAAGACATTTTTCGCGCGAACTTGTAAATTTACTTACGCCGCGCAGAGATGTGCCTTCATGGTGTATCCATATATATATCTCTGATATTTGGGATACGTAACATGTATCAAGTAATAGTATAAGTAAGCTAGAGCTTTAACTTGACGGATATCAAATTTCTTCGAAGTACTAATAGTAGCGCGCGCCGCTTTCTTCTCGTAATGCTATGGCCCGAGGCAATTGTGATTTGTGCTACGAGTACGAAGTAGCACATTTATTTTACTTCATTTCTCTCCCGGATTTGTGAGGCTGATAAGAGAGGCACCATTAATTCATGATTCCGATCTATCTGTGATATTTTCAGCGGACAATCAATTTTGTAAATCGAAGTAATAAAAAACTTGCATTCGCGGTTCATTTCAAGATCTCAAAGTATTATAAAATAAATCCATCACATAATAACGTTTTCAAACCTCACCTTTTTTTGATCTAGAAGTACATCCGAACGCGAAGAACGAATTCGTGAAACTAAAACGATAGGACTCGGCTCTAACACACATTGCATTTTGAAATTACCGATAAAATATGACATTATCGCTTAACTATCTCGGTAAAGGAATTACCAAGTTTCAAAATATGCCACAGCTACAGGGAGACTAATGACTAAATGAGTAAAGTGCAAAGCAGCAGTTTCTTTGCACTTTAGTCTCCCTGTGATGCGTTAAACTTAAAGCCCTTTCAAATTTATTCCAACGTTAACAATTATACCATCTTAAACCAGCTCTAGCGCACATTTCATTTTGAAATTACCGATCAAATATGACATAGCCTAACTTAAATTGCGTTAAATACCCTTTAAAATCTAATCAATCGTTTAGTTTTACAATTAAACCATCTTTAGTTTTACCACGCTGCACGCAAGACTAAAGATTCCTCTGAACTCTCCTCGCACTTCTGACACAAAAAACTGATCAATTTATGATGACGAATAATTATTGATAACTAATCAATCATTTTAACTAATCAATCATTTTCGTCAATTTAAAACATATAGAAACAAAAGAAAAATAATGAAATAAAAGATTAAAGATGTGACATATATTCTGATGAGCTCTCTTCATCACCTTTTTAATTTTAATGGAAATGTACATGACTTACACCATCGGTAACAATAGAAAATGATTAGCATTAATTAATTACTATTGTTACTATTTTTAATCAATTTTCAAATTAGAATCATTTATTAAGCATTGAAAATTAATTATTGTGAAATTAAGCATTCGGTTACCAATAGTGTTTACGAACTTGAATTAATTCACAATTCAAAAAAGAAGTTGCCACAAATTGCAAAATAGTGTTACAGTAAACAAACCTGTAATTGGGTTACATTAATCTAACCATGAAAATAAATCAGCAAAAACATGAGGAAAATTAATCAATTACCTATAGAACTAATTGATCAGTTAATCAACTAATTAATTAATTAAATTAAGGGGAGGGGCGATTTAAATATGTACATATTTTTAGGAAAAAAGGTTGCGTATCAAATATTTCGAACAGCTTTTCATTCTTTCAATTACCAAAATAACGAAGAGTTCGCACAGTAAAAGGGTAGAAACAGCTCACTAAGGCTCAGTTCCTTATTTTATGGTATCAAATTTTATCGCCACGCCACGTTCTGAGGTATCATCTGTAAACGAATAATCCCTTAGATCTTTATAAATTGTGACGCAGTGCCTGGTTATAGTTACTAGCAGGAACCCGTCTAACCCTAAAATGGTGTCAAGACTCAAGAGACTAAAACAATTATTACCTATTTAATTCGCGTTTTTGACACCACTTGGGGTACCAAATTTTGGGCTCTAAAACTCCTATTTCTTGGCCAATTTTTTATTTTTTCATGCTGATTTGAAGGCCATTAAAGCATTTGACCCAGTCAAAAAAGTTTCAGTTGTATATCTTTGACGGTTTTTGCAGAAATTCGCGTTAAAGTTGATGCCGTGGTGTCAGTAAAATGGCACGGATAAATAAATATATATATATCGTCTCGCTTTATATATAGTAAGATACTGTTATAGCTAGCTGTGAATGAAAAATATTCGAGTTCATTTTTTTCGAATGAAGGTTCATTTTTGAATTTATTTGATAGTTTGGATAGTCGGATCGAGCTAAATTTTATTGAATTGTGTTTGGCCATTCGAATTACGTTTGTCCTGAAAAAATTAGAACTGTACCTTCTCAGATGACCGAGATATGAAGCATAACGAGTTTATTCATTACGTGTGATCAGGTGATTGGTTAACCTAATCACGTGATTAGGTGACCCAGTTAACCACCCCGTTAAACGTTATGGGAATTATGAGAATTGTTAAGAGTGCCCAATTAAGGTGTCGTGTCACGGTGTCACATGATCACCCAGTCAATTTTGTTAACGAGATACAGAAAATGCTTGATAACTTCGTTATTTCTAATCCGTTTTGCCTCATGTTTCAGATCATAATATGCAACATTTAATAATCTACCGTCTCTGAAAAAAAATTAGGCGTTCAGCATGTTCAGAGAAAACAATATTTAATTATAGGTGTTTTAATATTGAATGAGCGTGGTCTAAAATATTCGAATTTTCAAATTTTGACGACGGAATCCTCGAACCAGTAAAGCAGTAAGTACAGTATACCATCTGCAAAGGAACAGCTCTCAAATATAAAACACGGCGGAGCTATTAAGGCCAACGTATGTCCACTGACTTTTGGCCCAACCTGTATAATTAATGAAGAATAAAGCGAGACGATGTAATATATCTGTTGCCATTTTATTGACACCACGAGATCAAATTTAATAAGACTTTCTGCGGAATAAATAAGATCACAGATAGTATAATATTATTTCACAACTTAACCACTTATGGTTAAATCTGTAAAGATTGCACAATTTGTCGAGACACGTTGTTATGGTACTACTCAACTCGTGCTGACTTATGTAAGTGGTATTATATTTCGTAGGTTAATGACAGACTCCTACGAAGTATATCAGTAAACGAATATTCCCTAGGCCTAAGTTGATGTTACTAGTATAGTAATAAATAAAATTAACTAGTAGGAACCCGTCAATACTCAAGAGACTAAATAAATTATTACCTATTTAATTCGCGTTTTTGACACCTCTTGGGGGTCCAAATTTTGGGCACTAAAATTTTTATTTCTTGGCCAATTTTTTAGTTTTTCATGCTGATTTTTGCGGAAAATCGTGTTAAAGTTGATGCCGTGGTATCAGTAAAATGTTACGGATATATATCGTCTCGCTTTATATATAGTAGGATGACCATTAATGACAATGTCAGTATTGGCAAAATAAAAAATACTGAAACTAATTATAATGGTCGTTGCATCCCCCCTCCCCCGACGAAGCTGAATGCGTTATATAACTAATATTCAGCCTTTGATGCTTGCCTATTGTGACGCAGTGCAATGTCCATGGCTAGATATGATTGAATTTTGCACCCACTTTAAAATAGTTGTAGCACAATGCGATATATTATCATTTCACTTAATGGGACTTTTATTAGACTGTGGGTAACATTTAAATTTAGTGCTTATCACACCGTACCATTCTCTCCATAAGGAACATCGAAAACTCAGCAAAAAAGGGTATTAATTGCTAATTGACAATCGCCCCCTCCCCCCTCAATGAGCAGGTCACACAACCTCCCAGCCCTCTTCAGCAGGACTAGACCCCACCTGATTAACATGCCCTTTATCTGGAACAGTCCTGACTCTCCTCCTATACAGGAGATTAGACCTTCCGCTTTGACACCAGACTCCCCCACCCTTCAAGGTAGTGATAAGAGACACAGAGCCGTCTGGTGGTGGACCTGGTACCTTTCTCCAGTAGTTACCCGCGGGGAGGGTGGGGCAAGCCCCGTAACGGTATACAAGGTGCTGGGAAGTGGATAAAGCCACCACGCCCTCGTGAGCCGCGCGCACGTGCAAACACTGCAGTCCAGGCACTTGTTCCCAGTCTGATCCTACTGGTAGTGAATATGAAACACCAGTTCTGACATACACACTGTTCCTCCCATCCACACCCCAGACTAGGGAACCTGCTGAGGAGACTTCTCGAAACTTTAAAGAGTTTGATTCTACTCTCACCCAAGCTTGTACGATGTCTTTTCCGGCGTAACAACCAGTTCTAAACCAGGGCGTGCCGGTTGTGTCAACCGCCCAAACCCCTCTATCTGAACAACTGAGTTTATGAAGGAGCACCCCCATTAGTTGGGTCATGTTTAGAGTTTGCCAGTGTGTTCCAAGCACGTCATCTCGAGCTAGTCCCTCTCTAACGTGGATCTGACCGCTCTGATCTACAGCCCATAACACGTTAGTGGTAGCGGCTATATGTACTACCCTACCCTGGGAACAGGGTGGTTCCAGTGGACGAGGTGGTGAAGACCTAGTGAAACACACTATATCCCCCGCCATAGTCAGCCCCCAAACAGGACCGGAAATGTCCGGATACGCTCCTTCCCCCGCTAGTGTTTGCCACTGTTCCCGTCTCCCGCTGATCAATGTCCGGGATATGTTGGCCCAGTTGTGGCCGGTTATGATGCCGTAGCGTCGGTGTAGTGTGTTGTAGTTGCTGAGGAGCCAGACACCACCTTCTGCTGAGGTGCACACCTGGGAGAAGTGGGTTAGGTCTGGTGTTTACTGGAGCCTATAGCTGAGGAGTACTGATAATTAGTTTAATTATTATCAATTAGATAATTAGTTTGGTGGCGAGGGGCCGTGGTATTTTCAAAATCTCTCTCTCTGGGGTTTCTTGGATGAAATTTTAATATGGAGTCAAAGTTTAAGGGTCCTTAGGCGCCTGGAAAAAATATGCTCTAATTTTTCCATCATGGATCCAGATTTAATAGTCTTTGTATGGTTGCTGGGACTATGGACAACACATTTCTGCTGAGAACAGCTTTAGCTTGCCGCAAATTTTTCCCAGACATTATTCATATAATAACCTAACTCCTTAACTACAACTACCAGCTATCCCATTTATACGATATCCTTCTAACGGTTCATTTGATGACCACTTAGTGATTAAATCTTAAAGCCGTTGAATTGATGATCAAACGGTTTGGAGCACCACTCAATTTTATTTGACGATCTAGTTTTGGCAAGCTGGATGGCTGGGTCATTGAACGAACCCTCCATATTCGGGAATATTTTTTATCTAACCAGCAAATGCTCATTATAAGTGCTGATATCTCATAATATGAAGAGTTGGGAAACCTGTTTGACATCAAGAGTTCGTCTCCTCATTGAAAAGAGTCCGACTGTATGTGTGACAAAGTTACTTCCCAGCTGTTCGCTTACACTGAAATTATTATTATTATTGACAGGATCATACAGTACAAATAGAATCCGTGGTAAAAACATCTTAACAAGTTTACACCGTAATCTGTACAAAAACTACAAAATATTTATCCAACTGCAACATTGTCTACAGTGAGCTATATCCTTTATTTCATTTGAAATGGTTAACATACTGTCAGAGTACTGTTACTCTTTTTTATCATTTTGGAAGATTGGAAGATTGAACAATTCTATGTGTAAAACTCCGATTTACCGCGCCCCGATTTACCGCAAACCCCGATTTACCGCAAACCCAGATTTACCGCGGCTATTTCCTCCCCACAAATACTATTAGAGTTTAACATGCATAATGTAAACAAACAAAACCCCGATTTACCGCGGTTGTTTCCTTTCCCCTAAACTCTGCGGTTAGTCTGGGTTTTACTGTAATAGAATTCGAGTATTACGGTGGCCGCCGTGGCCGGTGGGGTCATTTAACATTTTGAATAATTGGATTTTTTCCCCAGATAATTTTTTCTTGGGGTAATTTTGGACGATGGTTTGGAAAAAAAGTGGGGTCATTTTGGACACGACTTAAAGCTGTTTGCCAAGTTTCATAGTACGTAGGTATTGTTATAATGTGTTTTCCAGAGATCTTAGTCGGGAAGAAAATACTGAAGTCGGGAAGAAAACGAGATTTGTGACCTTTGAATAAACGAGATTTTGATGGGGTAATTTGAACATATAAATACCAATTTAAATAAAGCGGTCGAAGAACAGTTCAAAACGATTTTTAAATGGGATAAAGCGTTGCTGGTAAACATCTCCTTAAATATGACGGTGGCCAGCAGTCCTTTTTTCATATAATCATAATCTAAATACTATAATATTCGGAATTGTCGGACCACTTTAATTGGGAAAGTCGGAGAGTTCAGAGTAGAGTTTAAGGAGAGTAGAGGATTATGTCATACAATATACTAATGCTTAAAAATACAAAGTTACAACGAATTCTTCATGTTATAAATCCTGGGTTTGGACAGGATATGACCTGTTTAAAATATTTCCATCACGTTACATTACATAATTCTCAATAAATGTAATAGATTTGTTATAGTGTTGTAATTAGTTTTTATGACATCATGTTTTTGTTTCATGGAGCAGTTACAGCTTCCGAAAATATTCTCATCATCCTACCATATGAAGACGTGAATATTTTCGGAAGCCGTATTTAAATTGCTCCACGAAAGAAAAACCCCCTCATTTCACATCAGAATTAATTTGAAATGAAACATAGTTGTGGTTGTCAATTAAACTTTATCTACGTAATTTAAAATTATGATTATCTACGTAATTTAAAATTATGATTACCGGGCCATTTAAAGCCAGATCAGACTATTTCAAATTATAACATACCATTCAGTATAGTCTGAGACGAAACGGAATCTCGTTAGCTTTTCGTGTTAAAAGCGATTTCTCAACGGTTATCACCTCTCTAGATGATTCTCAAAACATTTGGACTTTATTGCATTTTTGCAATAAAGGCCACACCCTTTTTCAGGGTTTTGCGGTCACTCGAATTTTTGTATTTCAGTCCAGGAAGGTCTTAAAGACTATTCCGATACACCAAAATGTGTCTAATAGCCACATTTATATAGGGGGGGGGGGGGTGTCACGTCCGTCTATGTCCGTCTATGTCCTGTCCTTTTTGGATTCTATGAGACAACGGACGTGTTTTTTGGGACATAGGCGGACACGGACGGACATTGGCGGACTCGGACGGACATTGGCGGACTTGGACGGACATTTGCGGACCCGGACGGACATTGGCGGACTCGGACGGACATTGGTGGACATAAGCAGACATTGGTGGACAAACATTTTGAGAATTTTTCGCAACTTCTATGTATTATAATTTTGAGGAGGAGGAGAACTGAAGAGTACTGACTACTGAAGAGTACTGAGGAGGATGGCTGAGGAGGATGGCTGAGGAGGATGGCTGTGGGATGACTGAGGAGGATGACTGAGGAGGATGACTGAGGAGGATGACTGAGAGGGAGGAGGATCAGGAAGACCCAGGAGGAGGAGGAGGGGGACCCAGGAAGAGGAGCTAGGAGGAGGAGGAGGAGAACTGAGGAGGAGGACTGGGGAGGAGGAGGACTGTTGAAAACTGATGAGGAGGACTGAGGACGAGGAGGAGGAGTAGGAGGAGGACTGAGGAGGGGAGGAGGAAGAGGACTGGGGAGGATCAGAAAGACCCAGGAGGAGGACCCAGGAGGAGGACCCAGGAGGAGGATGAGGAGGAGGATGAGGAGGACTGAGGAGGATGAGGAGGACTGAGGAGGATGACTCAGGAGGAGGACTGAGAAGTAGGAGGACTGAAGAGTACTGAGGAGGATGGCTGAGGAGGATGGCTAAGCAGGATGGCTGAGGAGGATGGCTGAGGAGGATGACTGAGGAGGATGACTGATGAGGATGACTGAGAGGGAGGAGGAGGATCAGGAAGACCCAGGAGGAGGAGAAGGAGGACCCAGGAGGAGGACCTAGGAGGAGGAGGAGGAGAACTGAGGAGAACTAAGGAGGAGGACGAGGAGGATGGCTGAGGAGGATGACTGAGAGGAAGAGGAGGAGGAGGAGGAGGACTCAGGAGGAGGAGGAGGACTGAATAGGAGGAGGAGGAGGGGGACTGGGGGAGGACTGAGGAGGAGGAGGAGGAGGACTGAGGAGGATGACTCAGGAGGAGGAGGACTCAGGGGGAGGACTGAGAAGGAGGAGGACTGAAGAGTACTGAAGAGTACTGAGGAGGATGGCTGAGGAGGATGGCTGAGGAGGATGGCTGAGGAGGATGGCTGAGGAGGATGACTGAGGAGGATGACTGAGGAGGATGACTGAGGAGGATGACTGAGAGGGAGGAGGAGGATCAGGAAGACCCAGGAGGAGGAGAAGGAGGACCCAGGAGGAGGACCTAGGAGGAGGATGAGGAGAACTGAGGAGAACTGAGGAGGAGGAAGAGGAGGACTGAATAGGAGGAGGAGAAGGAGGGGGACTGGGAGAGCCGACTGAGGAGGAGGAGGACTGATGAGAAGGATGAGGAGGAGGACTGAGGAGGAGGACTGAGGACTGAGGAGGAAGAGGAGGAGGATGAAGAGGAGGAGGAGGACCCAGGAGGAGGAGGATTGAGGAGGAGGACTGAGGAGGATGGCTGAGGAGGATGACTGAGAGGAAGAGGAGGAGGAGGAGGAGGACTCAGGAGGAGGAGGAGGACTGAATAGGAGGAGGAGGAGGGGGACTGGGGGAGGACTGAGGAGGAGGAGGAGGACCGAGGAGGATGACTCAGGAGGAGGAGGACTCAGGGGGAGGACTGAGAAGGAGGAGGACTGAAGAGTACTGAAGAGTACTGAGGAGGATGGCTGAGGAGGATGGCTGAGGAGGATGGCTGAGGAGGATGGCTGAGGAGGATGACTGAGGAGGATGACTGAGGAGGATGACTGAGAAGGAGGAGGAGGATCAGGAAGACCCAGGAGGAGGAGGAGAAGGAGGACCCAGGAGGAGGACCTAGGAGGAGGAGGAGAACTGAAGAGGAGGAGGAGGAGGACTGAATAGGAGGAGAAGGAGGGGGACTGGGAGAGCCGACTGAGGAGGAGGAGGACTGATGAGAAGGATGAGGAGGGGGACTGAGGAGGAGGACTGAGGACTGAGGAGGAAGAGGAGGAGGATGAAGATGAGGAGGAGAACCCAGGAGGAGGAGGACTGAGGAGGAGGACTGAGGAGGATGGCTGAGGAGGATGACTGAGAGGAAGAGGAGGAGGAGGAGGAGGACTCAGGAGGAGGAGGAGGAGGACTGAGGAGGACTGAGAAGGAGGAGGACTGAGGAGGAGGAGGAGGAGGAGGAGGAGGACTGAATAGGAGGAGGAGGAGGGGGACTGGGGGAGGACTGAGGAGGAGGATGGAGGACTGAGGATGGAGGACTGAGGAGAAGGATGAGGAGAAGGATGAGGAGGAGGACTGAGGAGGACTGAGGACTGAGGAGGAAGAGGAGGAGGATGAAGAGGAGGAGGAGGACCCAGGAGGAGGACTCAGGAGGAGGACTCAGGAAGAGGAGGAGGACTGGGGAGGAGGAGGACTGGGGAGGACTGATGAGGAGGACTGAGGACGAGGAGGAGGAGTAGGAGGACTGAGGAGGGGAGGAGGAAGAGGACTGAGGAAGATAAGGAAGACCCAGGAGGAGGAGGAGGAAGAATAGGAGGAGGAAGCATCTAAATGTTATATCCATTTTTGTCCGTTTTTTTCCATTTTTGTCCGTTTTTGTCCGCTCTATTTTTTGTCCGTTTTGAAAATATAGGGTACCGAACGGACAAAAAACATGATCCCCCCTATAACAGCAAAAATTGAACATTTTATTTAGCAATTTAGGTGTCCATTAATGTCCGCTAATGTCCGTATATGTCCGTCTATGTCCGCCAATGTCCGCCTATGTCCGTCTATGTCCGCCTATGTCCGCCTGTGTCCGCTTATGTCCGCCTATGTCCGCCTATGTCCTGTCCTTTTTGGATTCTATGAGACAAGCGGACATAGACGGACGTGACACCCCCCCTATATACAACTTATGAAGCAACATATACCTTAAAATACTTCGTTTCGGAAATATGGCCGAAAAAACGGTTTTTGGCTTGACGCAGTTCAAATTTCCGTATTTTTGGCATTTCCGCCTAGGAAGGTCGTAGAGACTATTCTGATACACTAAAATGTACATAATGGCCACATTTATATACAACTTATGAAGCAACATGAAAGGCTTATTTTCGGAAATGTGGCTGAAAAACGGATTTTTGCTGAGCAATAATATTCACAAATGGGCTATTGGACTGTTAACTAGAACGGTCTTAAAGACTCATGAGCAACATAGCCATTAAGAGAGATGCCCAATAAAGTAGATCATTCTCTAATTTTTGTAGGTGTTTCTGAACAGAAAGTGACTCATCTTACATCTTGTGACAAATGCTATGTTGCTCATGAGTCTTTAAG